CTTTCCCTCTCTCTCCTTCCCTCCTCCTTCCCTGACAGTCTCAGTGCAAGGAAAACCTGGTTTGAATCAATGTCCTTCCTAGAAGCAGCTTCCACCTACTGTCCAGTGCTTAAGGCAGTAATGAAGCTAATGGAAAAATATCCATAAAAAAGTACTCCTGGTATTTCTGAGTATGAAAGCCACAGCAGTGATGCCTCTGGCTCCCGCTGTTGGTCTGTTAATGCCTCTTCCCTGACAGTCTCAGTGCAAGGAAAACCTGGTTTGAATCAATGTCCTTCCTAGAAGCAGCTTCCACCTACTGTCCAGTGCTTAAGGCAGTAATGAAGCTAATGGAAAAATATCCATAAAAAAGTACTCCTGGTATTTCTGAGTATGAAAGCCACAGCAGTGATGCCTCTGGCTCCCGCTGTTGGTCTGTTAATGCCTCTCACTGGCAGAGCTCGGCTCACTTAGCACGGCATTTCCCTTGGGATTATTCCTGCTATACAGGTGGTGGGAGGCAGAGCGAATTCTCCAAGCACAGCCTCTGCTCTGCTCACCCTCGTGCCCACTGCCTTCGATAAAGGGGACAAGACCCCCCCATGAGCACAGAGGGGGCTGTGAGGGCAGGACAGGCCTGGCCGGGGCGAGCAGGAGGGTTCTTCAGCCAAATAGTGAGAGAGCTGAGTAGGTGGAGAGCAGATATTTAGGTAAGGCATCCGGGGTGCTCCCGGAGCGGGAGCTTCGTTCCAGGGCAAGGAAGCAGGCGATGGGAGATGCAGGTGAGAGCTCTGAGAGGTGAATTCTTCCTCTTGGAAGGACTGGTGATGGAGAGAAGAAAGGGCTCTCAAGAGGGATGACAGGGGAAGGACAGACATAAGGTGTGCTTGGGTTTGAGGGATGACGGCAAAGACTTTTGATTCCTTCTCCTCTGGAGGGGAGCCCGGCTACAAGGTGAGGAGCAGGGGGTGCACTGATCCTGGCCCCCTCCGTCGCTCGTCTCTGACCTGATCACACTGAGCAGTCAAGAGCCCCATCGAGCTCTCAGCAAGCTTGAAGGGAATGGTGGAAATGTTTAGATTTTCCTGTTTTCTGATTTTCAAAAAAAATTCTCCTTACCCTGTTTGAGTGCCCTTCTCAGAAACTGATTCAGAACAATGGTAATTAAATTTTAACTGAACAGTTCCCTGACCACTGCCCTGCGGTTTGCGAAATGACTTCAGCAGACTAATTGTGGAGTAGGATGCTTTGTCCTGTGACGTGACGCTCCAGTCCCAGTGATTCTCTATAATTACCTCAGTACTTTCAGCTCATTACCGTAAAATGCAGTTGCATCCCATTAATTTCAGCAGTGCCCGGACGCGTGCCAAATGCGGAGTCTCCCAGAACATTACCGGCTGGCAGAGGCGTCTCTCACCCTTTACAGACATCCAAGATACTCATCCTCTGCCCTCGCTGTTAAACAGTTTGGTGGGAAGTACTGGGAAAGCAATCTAAGCCTGAAAGCGGAAAGGCATGCCCAAGTGAACACCTTTCAAGGATGGAAAGCAACTTTTAATTAAAAAGGGGGAGGGGACAAATTAGCAATCCTCTCCTGTAATACATCAGCACGTGGGGTGGGTGCAATATGGGTAATAAAACTCTTCCAGGGACATCGTCAAGTTTGACAGATCCCAAATTAAATCCACATTAAGCTACAACCGATTTATGACGCGTTGTCACCTTCCCATGTGACACGGCAGCTCGTTCCCAGGTAGCACAGGGAAAGCAGAAGCTTTGGCTGGAGGAGGAGGATGGAGCCAGGAGCTAAAGGCTGTGTTGGGCTGGGGCTTTGTGCCGCAGCCTGGGCGGTGTGTGGGGCCGCAGCTCTCCTGCAGAGGTGCCTATGCTCCCTCAAACCCATTTTCCTCCGTGACGATTTCTACCTGAACAGAAAGTGCGGAGGGTATGGGATGTGCACCAGCACAAATCCGTTGGGTAGCGTTGCTGGGAAAGAGGATTCACAAACTCTTAAATCCTCGGTGACATCTACCTTGCAAACAGTTTAACAGCCAGCCCTAGTGTTTTCCAATACCAGCTTACGTTCTTTCTGAGATGTGCACGTCCTGGGAGCCTAGGCTTGCTGATATTTCAGGACCTCCACCATCAAAGAACTGACTTTTGCTCCTTCCTGCCCACTCTAGGCAGCCCGTAGCATTTGCTGCCTTAAATCCTGCGTGCAGGGCTTCCACTTCCAGCGCCTTTCCTGCCCGCCAGCGCTGCAACTCGGACAGGCAGAGTGGGCTAGCAACCCGCCTCCAGCTGGGTTCTGCTCCGTCCATCCCAGGGCCTCGAGGAGAGAGCGGCTTCTCCTCATGAGCAGGCTTGTCGGCATCTTGGGAAAAGAAGGTTTTGAGCTACACTTGGGATTTCTGATCTCACTGCTGGCTGCTGCCCAGCCTGCTCATATGTCACCTCGTTTGCGCCGTTGGCAGCGGGAAAGCTTTTATATAAGGGAACATGAATCAGTTTCAAAGGAGCTTTAGCTGCCATAAAACATCTTTACGGGTAGCATTTAATCTAAACAGAAAGTCCCCAATGTCTATGTCAATTATATGGGTTGCTTTTCTTAAATATTGCAAGTTATGATGGTTTTTTTTGCTTTTCATTTTGTTAGATTGTGCCAGTACGGGGGAACATTTTTTGCTAAACTTAGCTCATGTTTGCCATTTCTCCACTTCCACCGTTTCATGTGAGATTCAGAAGTAACTCCCCTTACATCCGCAGAGTCACGTCGCCGCTGGCAGCGGTGCTTGCGGTGTGCCTGAAAAGCTGCTGGAGGTTCAGGAAATCTGGCGTTAAAGCTGACTACTTCCATTGCTTTAAATGCATTTAAACAAGTGGTAGGGGATGCCTGGAGATCTGTAGCTCTGATCCTCTTCTGCATTTCTAAGGTCCCCAGGGGGAGGGTTTGCAGTTTGAAGCAGGGGGTGGGTGACCATCAGCCCTCATTTAGATGTGGAGAAGGGGCTGGTGGAGCCGAGCCTCAGGGGAGGGGGACGAGGTTACAGATGAAAAAGTGTCCTCACTGAAGCAGTCTGCTCGTGCTAATTCCAGCAGATAATAATTCTGACTGAAAAGCAAACCCTTTCGCTTTAGGCAGATGAAAGGAAATTCCCAGGTTATTTTGTTAATAAGGTCAGGAAAGCAATGTGATTTTTGCTGAAAATTGCCATTTGCGTGGCGCGATAACTAAGGAACCATACCTTCAAAGGTGGGACCATAAATGGACTCTCCTCCGTCTCCCTCTCCAGTTATGATGTCTGCAGGATAGAGAAAAGAAATTCCTATTGAACCGGAATTCTGACGGGTGATGCACTAGAGAAGCCCGATGCATCTATTTTTCATGTAGAGTTTTAAAGAAGTCTGGTTTTGTTACTTCATTTACACATTGTCTCACACCAGTCGGGTTATGGTTAGTCCTCTACCATAGCAAGCCTATAGTTTTAGGTTTCACAGACTCACAGATTCACAGAGTGGCAGGGGTTGGAAGGGACCTCTAGAGATCATCTGGCCCAACCCCCTGCCAGAGCAGGATCACCTGGAGTAGGTCACACAGGAACAAGTCCAGGCGGCTTTGGAAAGTCTCCAGGGAAGGAGACTCCCCCACCTCTCTGGGCAGCCTGTTCCAGGGCTCTGTCACCCTCACAGTGGAGAAGTGTTTCCTCATGGTCAGGTTGAACCTTCTGTTTTCCAGTTTATGGCCATTGCCCCCAGTCCTGTCACTGGACACCACTGAGAAGAGTCTGGCCCCATCCTCCTGACACCCACCCTTCAGATATTGATAAGCATTGATAAGATCCCCCCTCAGCCTCCTCTTCTCCAAGCTAACCAGCCCCAGCGCTCCAGCCTTTCCCCATACGGAAGGTGCTCCAGGCCCTCCATCATCACCCTGCGTTGGGCCCTCTCCAGTTGCATTTATGGGCTACATAGATATCTGCATAGTTATTTGTGGAAATAGAGACAGGTTAGATGGATGATAGACCAAAAGGGAGTAACGAAGGAAATGCCTTCTGATACACCTAACTGCCTTGGCTTCCCTGGGGATGCTGGGAAAGCTGCATGACCCATTGTTCGTGGTGCCTTTCTTGCCGGTGCCAAACTCCAGGCCTAGCCTTGGTGTTCAAACAACTCAACAGCACGTTGGGAAGGGCTCTGACACATGGCTAAATGTAAATTAATCTCTCTGTAAAACAAGGAATAGGTTTTCCTATGGATATTCTTAGCGTTTTCACGTTTCCAATTAGTTTCCTAATTACTTACCAAAGAACTTCATGGAAAAGAGTTAATGCTTTCATTAGTTTCCTAAATGATTTTGAAAAGATCTTAGGTAATCAAAATTATCCAAACTTTTCCTAAGTTTAGGAAGTGAGGTGGCTAAAAGAGAAAATGTTTTCTGGTTTATATATATATATATAGATATACGAATTGTCCTGCAGAGATGAGCTTTGTCACGCAGTACAGCTACGTCTCTGCGGATGAATCATAGAATCATAGAATCACTGGGTTGGAAAAGACCTTAGAGATCATCCAGTCCAACCGTATCTGTCCACCACTAAACCATATCTCTCAGCACCTCATCCACCCGTCTCTTAAACACATCCAGGGATGGTGACTCCACCACCTCCCTGGGCAGCCTGTTCCAGTGTGTGATAACCCTTTCGGTGAAGAACTTCTTCCTTACATCCAATCTAAACCTCCCCTGGCGCAGCTTGAGTCCATTCCCAGCCATGAAGGCTGTTATTCAGGCAGATCATCCCACCCCCACTTCGGGTGTAACTCGGATTTAATCGGGAGACTTGGAAACGCACCTCCTCCTTGGATCCACCCATTTTTCACAAGGCGATGGAAAAGGGAGTTTTTGTAGGTGAGCTCTCGGCCACTGCAGGGAGACCTTGCTCCTCCGGCGCACAAGGCGCGGAAGTTCTCACAGGTCCTGGGGCACGCGTCCGAAAAGAGCTGCAAAAGGAACACGAGAGAGGAAAACCCGTGGAATTCTGAGCTGACACCCGCCGGCCAGATTCCTGCCTCCCTGAGTTCAGCAGATGAAAGCGCCGCGGTGGGTGGACTATTCCTCGCTTCTGCTCCTCTCCTCCGTGCCGTACCTCAAAGAGCAGCCTCCCGACGGGCTGCTCCTCAATGGCTATCTCCAGGTACACGAACACGTGCTGTTTAAAGCAGAAACACAAACACAAGTGAGGGAAAGGCCAGCTCCGTGTGCGACGCGTGCTTCCTAACGCGGGCCAGGCTCCAGCCGCCCGGCGTGGACGGTCTCAGAAGACGGCTGCCGGATTGCCGACGCACAACAGCGTTCCTACTGCTTTGTTCAAATAAACAGAAAAGTAGAGGGTGTTTCCCTTCATGCTGGGCAGAAATAGTCCCAGCAGTGTGTTAAAAGCAAACTACTGGGCAGGGCTCGCTACTTCCTCTGGTGCTTGTTTACATGCCTATTGCAGCCCGTACAAAACGGGCAAGAATAAAAGAATCCGCAGGAATACTAGCCATCCTGCCAACACGGACATTCTCGTTCTTCCCAGCCAGCCTCGAGTCCGCGCCGGCTGCATCCCACCTCATGACACCATGACTTTTCAAAGGGGGTCTTGGCTGGGAGAGGAGAGGCTTGGCAGTTGGGCCTTTGGTACCCAAGGGTAAGGGTACTCAGGAATTTTGGTACCCAGGGGCTGGGCAGTTTGGGATTTTGGAGTGGCACAGTTGCAGCATGGTCAGCAACGTACTTTCGTTGGACTGTTCAGCCCTGAAGCAGTTAATACGTGTTGGGTATCTGCGTTTGTCCCTTCCTGGCTGCCGAGAGGCCGGAGGCTCTGCTGTCTTCATCCCTGGCAGGGGATGCTCCCCACCGGCCTCTCCATCCCTAGCTCTGGCCCTGCCATCGCAGGGCAGCAACCAAGATGCTGCCATCGCTGTGCTCGCTTTCCTTGCTCCTCGTGGTATCTGCCCTTCCGTCTGCCACCCTCTCTGGCCACTTACAGACCCTTGCACTCTTCTCATAAAGCAGTGCTACTTGCCTGGCTGTTTTTCAGGTATTTGGTGTAGAAATCCTCAGCAATCGCTTGGTAAAGTGCCTCGGGCTTAAAGTCGCGATAGTCCCACTCATGGTAAGACCACTTGAGCAGCTCCTTCTCGTCCCCCAGCAGCTGGCCGCCGATGAAGCACATCACCGAGGAGGTGTACGCCCACACCTCACCCCTCAGTTCCTGCGTTTCAGAGGGACAACATAACGTATCCAAGGGTTATTTACACCTTTAGTGAAGAAGCAATCAGTAACAACACACCATGCCTGTGGTGTGTTTATGCCTTTCCTACTTTTCAAACCACAGATCCAACAGGAAGGGATGGGCAGCAGCTTTCAGTGAGGTGTGCGGATGCTGCATGCAGTTACCTGCCCTAAAGGTCTGGATCCTCCTGCTATGGGACATTATCGTGACAACAGTCACCTGGGTGTCACTTTGGGGCAGCTCAGGCCAGATAAGAAAAGCACCCAGGGAGCCCCATCCTGCCTGGAGGCTCTGAGAATGTTAAATAAAGTGGAGTGGAAAAGCCCATTTCCAAAATCAGTGCATGGCACCACGCTGCCAGGTGCTGCAGCCCTGGGGGATGGACTCATGTCCAAAACAACCCGAGGAAACAAGAGTTACCTTCTTTTTCTCCTGTAAATATTCATGCCATGCAAACTCTACTAAAGGTTGTATTACGGGATCTGCAAACTTGCTTGGAAACTTCAGTTTCAGAGCCTAGATTTTCAAGGCAAGGAAAAAAAAAAATTGCTTACAAGAAGTTTAATACCCCCCTCCCGCCC